AAAGYTGCTGAGGCTGGCTTTGAACTCACAATCCTCCTTCCTCAGCTTCCCAAGCTGTTGTAATTATGGGCATGTGCCAAGGCACCTGGCAGAAATTTCTTATTGGAACTCAATCACCAAGTACAKGACTAGAAACTGGCATAACTTTCAAATTTTGGTCAACCTAATATTCTTCATTTGCACTGTKAATGCTTGAGTTTTTCCAAGGCAGTTTATAATGAGCCTTAAATTTAAGCTGTTGCTCAGTGACCTTATATCCAGTTTCTTTCCGCATGCCGCTTTATTATTGACTTGTCTAGAATTTTTGTTTTGTTTTTGTCACTTGCTACCAAACTGCCATGATCTGACCACTCTCTTGGATTATCACGGTAACCTTCTAGCCAGTTTCCTTGACTCTGTGATTTCCTTCCATCAGTGCCAACACTGTAAGTAGAGTGATATTTAAAAAATACAAAGCTGAGCAGAGCACTGCTCATCCCAGACTTTGCTAGTGTCTCTTTATTATACTCAGAATGAGTCAAGAGTTTAGAATGGCCTCCAAGGCCAACTCAAGTTCACCCCTGTTACCTCTCAGACCTTGTGTCYTGTTGTTTTCCTTCTTGAACTCTCTCCAGACCCACAGATAACCTTGCTCTTTCTTGACTACCCCTTGGTCAGAAGGGTCCTGTGCCCAGAGAGATAGATACATGGCTTGCTGACACAGGAAGGAAGARGTCTGACTTCAAAAGCAAAAAACAAAAGCCACTTAGAAGAAACAAAATGTGAGTGTAGACAAAACAGAGTATGAAAGAAAGAAGTAAAAGTATAAAATAAATATGTAATACATGAAATGCTAAAACATATCAAAAGTTTAAAATGCAAGCTTTTATTTATTTACTTTTTAAAAACCATCTGTTTATTTGAGTGAGGCTAACTACCTGGTCAAGGCTGGGCTCTGGCTTCCCTAAGGTGTACTCAAGAGTAGATCTCTCAGTAAACATGGAAAAAAAAAAAAAAAAGAAAAAGAAAGGAAACTAGGAAAGGGAGAATGAAAAYATATTTTAACATTGTGAAAATAAAATAATTATATCCTTGAGTATGGGCTGAAAATAATAACTAGAGATTTAATAACTCCTAATTATTTCTTACAATCTACAACCTCCCCCAACCTTATAATTCAGAAAAGATAACAGAGGCATATCAATCTTTATTGCTATAAACACAACTCTTTGGAATTACAAACTGTCTTAAAAGAGCCACCAATTATGAAGCAAGGAACTAGCACCCAAATAATCCCCAAACTTTTATGTTGAAACTTGAAGGAAAGCACCTTGTTTTAAACATCACCAAAGATGAACATCAGAGTTTTAAGATGCTTGGGAAATAGATAGACAATGAAAAATAAGTTAGATCAAAAGCAATTTGATCATGAATTGTTTAGTAATTAATATAAAATGAAATGAGAGAAAATATAGATAATTAAACAATAAATTATTCATATTTCAAAAGTGTTTGAAGAATAATAGGTTGATACATTCAGGCTTTGTCTTATCACAAATTGAATAATCCGGGACTAACAAGATTTGTTCTACTGTGAACTGTTATATTCCAATGCAATGTGAAGTAGGTCTTAAAAATATCAGAAATCCCCTACAAAGGCTGGAACTTATTAAATAGGCATGGAAAAATGTAAGTATTTTTTTTAAAGTCTTTCCAAAATAGTCATAGCCATTTTTTCCCACTGATTTTAACCCTTTTAATCTCCTACTAAAAATAAAGGGTGTCATATGTGTCATATGCTTTGGCTGACAATCAAATCTTGGTAAAATTTAGATATAAATTATATAACTAAATACATCCACCTAATATAAAAAATGTAATTGTTTTAAAGATATATAATTAAAATTTAAGAATAATACATCAAATAAAATTATGATGCCAAAAACTTTATTAATAAGTATAGAGCAGAAGTCGAGATGAAGATATATAAATAATGTTAAAAAGATATTTTACCTGCAAGTTTTTCAGTGCAAATAGTTACATCAGGCATAGAGGTAAGTAATATATAGCAGATATATCTGGAATTCAATGTCAATATTAGCTCAAGAGGGTATTTTGGTTGATATTAAATAATAAAGTATTTATAATACAGTAACTTTTGCCTTGAGGAATACCTTTTTAGAAAATCAGATGTTATATAAACGTGGTTTGTTTTCAAACCATATATGCAAAACACGAAACTACTATCTATTCCTTCTCCCTTTTGCTAAGAGCATGTTGTTTTACGATTCAACATGCCATATGATGTAAATTGTAGTTATTTACTTATGAAATTATTTCCACATCTCTTCTAGGTCTATGGAATGATGTATCCGAGTTAGAGTTAAGCATCAAAAGAATGAAATTSTGCMCAAAGGCTACTCATTGAAAAATATACCTTTACATGAGTCTTAGAATTCTTGATGTTTTAAAAAGGTGATTGTGAAATTTACAACTGAAGAGTTAGAACATCACTGTGCAATCCCCACCCTCCCTCAAAAACGTTGACTTGAAGGACTCTTCCTAGAAAAATAAATGACTAATGTTAGCATTTTAAAATTGTATTTTCCATAATTTTTATAATTGATCTTAACAACAACAGCTGTACGATTGTCACTCCACCATTTGGTAGATRACCTAAAAACCATCTCTGGAAGGTATCAGGTATTTTAAGAAAAGACTTATCATGATATATCATATTAGAACAATAAATAAATTTCTTATGGTCAGATACCATTCCTTTAATGAACTAATTAATTTCTTTAATCTCTTAATTAATGAATAATTATTYCTTTTCCTTCAAATGCCTGAACCCAGACATACTCAAGTATATTTTAATAAACACCTCTTGATTTTGTTTCTGGAAAAAACAATTAACCCATCCTTAATGCAATCCCCKAAAGTGACAGAAAGAAATAAAAGAAAGACACCCTTTAAATGACTTTATTTACACCTCTGCATTTTGGMATACTACAGATTATCAAAATTTTACATATTCTACAGAGTTAAAATAAGATGCATATTGTGGCTTTTGAAATATTTACCTCATCTGGTGTTATGTAGAGCAAAATAGCTCTAGGTAAAACAATTCACTCCTAGCCCTCTTTGAGAAGTGTTGGAAGTTAAATGATGATTCTTGGATTGTATAACACCCTGGGAAATTTTAGTAGACAGGAKAAAAATCTTTAAAAGTTGTATAAAATTCACAATTCCAGGGGAAAGATTTTTTTTCTAATTTTATTTTGTCAGATCTAGTTTCATTTTAGTGAAATTCAAATTAACAATGGATTTTAAAAAGAGGAAAAATTCCTCTACCATGCAATAGGAAATTTACCTATCTTTTTGAATGGTTTGATTCTTTTCAGAGAGTCTTAATCAGGTAACATAATATGGCAAAAACACAGAAATAATACATCATAAATAGCACATTACTAAGTTTTGAAGCTAAAAAATATATTATACTATTTTATTTGGAAAGTMTTAATCAGAACCAAGTATAAGCCAAGAGCTTATTAAAAATAAAACTAGCAATTTAAAATTTATGATAGTGAAAAAATTTAATTAGGGAATGGGATAGACTGAAGGAATGGGTTTGTCTAGTATTATTTCACTCTTGCTAACACAATATCATCAAACTCTGTTAGTTCTGATTTATCACCTCAAAATGGCAGCAGAGGATTGTTTAAAGAAAGTACCAAACTCAATTAAGGCTAATAATTACTATGGTATTACTTTACCAAACAATTCTTTTCTAACTTTCCCCACTTAAAACAGTTTACATGTTCTAAAAACATTATTCTTAGAGACCCTTAAAAAAATTCCCCGCAAAGCTTAACCATACTGCTAGCTTTTTTTCCCCACAGCTCAGCTTAAGTAAATCATTTTTAAMTTAGGAGCTATGTAGTAAAAAGCTGGGTATGAGTGAATAGCATGTACCGAAAATGCAATCTGAAAATACAACGAAGTTTCCATCTGCTTACTTGGAAAGTCATTTACCACCAATGATGACAACCATGTTAGGTGTTCTTTGCTTCAATCTAAGAAGTTAACTTGGCAGGTTTTCCTTATTATTGATTCTGTACCATAGTGGTAAAGAGAGAAATGAGTGTGATGTCCCATAACCTCACCAGTAAGCAATATTCTTCAAGATCACATCTACCATCACACACAGTCTAGAATCAGAAAAGTCCTTGACTCCATAGGAGATTTAAACGAAGTCCTGGCATGAAATTCAGGTGCAGACATTGCCAGTTTCCCCTGAACAAATCTTACTTTCTTGCTGCTCTTTCATGGAATTTTCCCCTAGGAAATATTTCCTAATTTGAAGTTCACTTCATTGAGTCCTGTTAAGGTGCAGTCAAGGTAAAAGTCCTTGGTTGTTTATGGACTTGACTATATAGTCAGATTTTATTTAATGATTAACCCTGGTCTAAATCTATGGTTGGATTTTTAGTTTATATTATYCATGAAATTAACAGGGTATATGGAGGGAAATAGCATGTTAATAACCTGTTTCCCCACATAAACATAYCACATCTTTATACTTTTGAAAGTTGCCTGAGCTACTTGGCAAATCATAACAGAGCAAGGAGAATTGTGCCAATTGCCATCTTAAGGCCAGTGCTTTTACATGATCACATTTTATTTCTTAACATATTGGAGATGTACTACAGGCCTCATAGATGCAAAAAAGGCCCTACAGGCCATGAATCCAAAAAAAAAAAAAAAAAAAAGACCATTCCTTAATTTAGTTCACGATCACAATTTCATTAGTACTAATATAAGAAAAATGTTGATGAATGCTAAGGAAGGCTCTCCCCCACAGCAATGTTTTCATTTATTTTTCTCATCGTGGTTCCTCAGCTTGTTCCACAATTATCTTAGCACCTAGTTGTGCATCATAAATTGCATTGTTAGATATTTGGGTGCTGGGAATTGAACCTAYATCACAATTACTGTGCATAGGTACACTGGGATCCTGATTACTTGGTATATTGTACTGTACTGTACTTTGTGATTCGACTTCGAGATGTGCTAGGGGAGGCAGATCCAAGGGTCTGGCTAAAGTGATGGTCAGAGGAACTCCTCACATGACCAATAGTGGCTGTCCCCCCCATACTGCTACTCAAGCCCCCACCTCCACCCAGGTTGCTCAGCCCAATGCCAYTACCACTGACTCCAGCTCCACTCAGGCCCATGCTACCGGCACCCATGCTGGTGCTAACTAGGCCACTGCTACCTAGGCCCCCACCTCCACTTATCCCAGCTGTGCCACTAATTCCACTTATGCCAGCACCAGAAACAACCCTCTCTGTCACAATCACATTGTGGGCATTTGATAAGTCAGGATGCATACTCAGACTGCCCATCATGCCAGAAGTTGGTTGGATTACTCTTTCTGTCACTACCACATTTGAAGACTCTCTAGGATTAGAGATGGTCAGAGAGGTGGGTAGACTTGAACCTGGTGCTATGACCCTTTCTGTCACTATCACATTCGAGCCATCTCTCAAGTCGGGCATATCCAGCATTCCATGCAAATCAGCGCCAGAGATTGGGCCCACCACCCTCTCTGTCACCACCACGTTTGATGCATGCCGGTTATCATGAAGATGGACAGAGGGCTTCAGAGTGCCAGAGGTGGTATAAGACTCTGTCATAGTGACATTACCATAGCCCAGAGGATCAGGAATAGGCATAGGATGCTGTACACCAGGTCCTGAGGGATAGGTGCTCTCAGAAATTACGGTAGTAGTGCCAAAGTGCGGGGAGACTGGTGGGTGTCCACCCACCATGGGGTCTGTTGTCTGCTGAGGGCAAGGTGGTTCAGTGCTCTGAGGTTGCCAAGAAGGTTCAGGGTCTGGATAAGAGTCAATTTCTCTTCCCAGGCTGATATCTGCCAATTTCTTAAATTTAGGTCCCAGAGTATCCAAGAAGCTTTCATCCAGGTCTTCTCCAATGAAACTGCAACAGCCCACAGAGCCGGCAGGMGAACCTACTCCTTCAATGTCATATATGAGCAAGCAGTCATTGGACGGGCGTCCTTCATCTTCATCTGCATAAGCATATGCCTTCTGAAAAGAGAAAATGAAATTATGAATACATATTGTCGTTACCATTGTTGTTTCTTCCAGGGCATTTCCAAAGAGGCCTATGCAGAGCAAAGTTCTAATATCTACTGGAAATGATTTAAAAAGCATTATAATTTCTTGAAAGAATTTGTTAAGAAGATATTTTAACTATAATTCCGATAATATGTAAATTTTGAAATTTACTTTGGTAGACTTGTTTCAAAAATAGTACACTTTGGACACAGAATCCCATACAAAAAAGTCCCATGAACAATTTTATAACCAGGTTAGAAGGAGGCATATGAAAATGCTGTATACGTCAGGTGCGGTGATGCACACCTGAAATCCCGGGGGCTGGGGAGACTGAGGCAGGAGGATCGTGAGTTCAAAGCCAGCCCCAGGAACTTAGTGAGGCCCTGTCTCAAAATAAAAAATAAAAGAAAGGACAGAGGATGTGGCTCAGTGGTTAAGCACCCCTGGGTTCAGTCCTTGGTACCCAACAAACAAACAAAAAAATTGCTACACACAAAAAAAGTTAGAAGGAGGTATGCAAAATGTGTTTGTATATAAATAAATATATATATTTTTTTTCCTAAAAAAGGCAGTTCATAGTTTATGGGTTCATTGAGCATTGYATTTTCTTTCCTTCAAGCAGAATGAATGTGATGGATCTGGGAAGGTTTATTTTAATGTGTCCTTTTTATTTACTTACTTTTTAAATTTTAATTTTATATTTGTTACCAGGGATTAAACCCAAGGGTGCTTAACCACTAAGTCACATCCCCAGCTCCCCCTTTTTATTTTATTTTTTATTTAAGATAGGTCTAAGTTGCTCAGAGCCTTGCTAAGTTGTTGAGGCTGGCTTTGAATTTTCAATCCTCCTGCCTTAGCCTCCAGAGTCACTGGGATTATTGCTGTGTGCCCCTGTGCCTGGTTTAATGTGGCCTTTTTAGTGCAATAGGAAAGTTTGACTCTGGATCTGTGCCATTYTTATATTAAAAAATAAAGGTGATCCCAGACAAATTTTAAAGATTAATCTCTTTCAATTCAAGCTGAAAGCCCACAGATGTGTGTACTTTGATTTCATCTTTGCAGTTCATGGTACTGAATTGCAGGCTTTCAGGTTGACTATCAGAAATATCAGGTAGTCAACCAACTCATTGTGCTGGTTCCTTCAAAAATATTTATTCAGCCTTTGTTCTTTGGCAGACACTCTGTTAGGAACTTAGCTATGCAACAATGAACAAAAGCAGATATGATCTTCTCTCCTAGGGCTCATGTTTCAGTAGGACGAGACAGACAAGGCATGATCATAGGTGCCGGGGAGCATGGGTTCAGGTATGCAGAGTGATGGAGGTTGTCCGTCTATAGGAGAAGGAAGTCATCTCCTTCAAGTGGTGCTAATCAGAGATCACAATGAAGTCGATTGAGTGGACTGTGGGAGCTATAAGTGTGAAGGTTTCAAGGCACAATTCTACTTTTTTTGTGAAGATAATATTCATAGGTAGGGACCTGAATGGAAAGTATTCCCATATGTTTCAGGAGCTATTCCAATTATTATTAATTACTATTTAAAAGGCTTTTACTAATATTTATTTAAAAATATCAATCACTCTCTAAACCAGAGGGGAATTAATAAAAGCATTTTAGGTGAGAATGCAGAAGGACRGAACTGTATTTCTAGTCCAAATCAGAGACAGGAAGTTGCTGAAGGTTGAATAGCATGTAATGTGTAACCACAAGCAGTTGGGTCTCTGCCTGGGGATGGCAAGGTTAATTCTCCTTCTGCCAAACTTTTCCAGGGCCCACACTCTTTTCATTTCTTAGAATGTTCTGGAAATGTACTGTGGCTCTCTTAGTGAATGTTTACTATGTGCTTGGAACTGAACTGAGTGCTAGCCCTACAATGTAAAGAACATATGGATGAGACACTAAAAATGGTGGTGGACATATACATGAAGACATTTTGGCAATTGTAAGTTCTATAAAATGTAAAAAGTACGACAAAAATACAGATGAGGAAACACGGATCTTATTTTGGATGAGATAATTAACTGTAAAAATTTCAGAGAGGCAGTGACATTTGAACTGGATCTTCATGGATGGGTGCAAGTTTTTGTGAGAGAGGAAGGGATGAAAGCATTGCAGGAGGGTCACACAGAAGCAAAACCTTAGAGAACAGTCCACTGTGCAGAAGGCAAAGGTACTCAGCAAGTGAGGCTGATGGGAAGGAAGGGTGATTGGAGATGTGGCGGGTGGGGGTGTCAATTTGTGAATTGCCTTAATTGTCATGTTGAAGAATTTGGAATTTATGTTATAACAGAACACAAATGGGAGTCACTGGCTATTTTTAAAAGGGAGAGTACACATTCTCAGATGAGAGCTTTTGGGCTATTATTCAGCCACAATACAAATTGTTGGGCATGAAGATTAGAAGTTGGGAATCCAAGACTCTTCYCAAATTCCCTGATGGAAAAACTTAGAATATGGTGGATAGAGAGGAAGGTACGCAGCTACAGGCYTTACCTGACAAAAGTAATTTTCCATGAAATTCATATTCAAACCGCCTTCTCTACATTCCCTCATAGAATTTCTTCTTAATGTTCCAGAATATTCTTGACATATCTCAGGTGCCGCTGATGTCTTAACTCCATCCATTAGTTCAAATCCTGTTGTTCTTTCTCCTCCTCCCAGATCCTGCATTTCTCTGCCACAATACTCATTTGTATAAACTCCTAAAAATGTTGATCACATTAAATTTACTTTCTCTAGTATAATATAAACTAAAAACTACTAGGATGTAAGATTTCTTCATCCAGGCATGCACTCATGAGCAAAGAAATAAAATGAAGATGACATATAAAGAAAGGAGAGGTAATTATGATCTTGAGGTCAAAAAATAATGATCAATTTGTTAATTTGGTAATTACCTATCCAGAGACTACTGTAGGATGTGTTAGAAGTGGGGACTGCAGAAAAGTCACAAAAACCTATGCCCTCAAGAGTTTGATTTCCAATTGAGAGACTGGGATAAATAACTCAAATTTTGAAGGTTAAAAAAACAATATAAGCATACCTCCGATGTATTATCGGAAGCTCAGGGCATCCAGAAAAAGGCAAAAACAAAAACACAAAAAACAACAACAAAAGTAACTCCACTAGCTTTCGGAGAAGAGGCCACCGTTCTTCGATCTGCTCTTGGACGTGAAGGTTGAGTAGAAACTTGTTACAATATTTGAGGTAGGTGGGAAAAAAACAATGGCATGGACTATGGAAATGCCACAGAGAGAATGTCCATAAGAGTATAGGAATTCCCATGACCTTAATATTTGAAAGATCTCGAATTTGTGGGAAGTGTAATTTTCATACTTCAATTAACCTAGTGTCTTCCATGATGATTTGTTTAAGATCTGTGCAAAGGTTTATAGACTTTGTGAAAGCATAAATGCATCAGTAAACAATGTTGGATATGATAACTGATTGGACACCAAGGGAAAAGGAGATGTGAGTTAACAAGAGTTTTTCTTTAGGTTGGGAAGATATTGGTTTTGTTCACCAAAATGGATATGTGAGGAGGAGAAATAGGTTCAAAGACTAGTTATTGACTTCTTTGAATAATGTGCAAGTTATAAACAAGTTATAAACACTTTAGTGCCTATTACATTTTAGAGTGTCCAAAGTGGAAAAGTAATCATTAGTAATAATTAGTTTGAAAAATAACAATCAATAGCATTTACCTTGGAAAAGGAAACATGGTACAACTATTTTCACAAGTTATGAGAAGTTATTTTAATTGTTCCTCTTATTACAGTGGTAGTTATTAAGTATTTTAATTGTTCCTCTTATTACAGTGGTAGTTATCCACTTACTGTGAGATTCTAACTGTTCCCTGGTTTTTGCCTGTGAAGTGGGTCTGGACTCCTATTTTAAGTCCAGTTGTATTTATACAGTCTTGCCCCAATACAAGGGGAAATTCCACCACATGCACAAAATCTTAGCTGAAAGCTTTAAAAGATTTTGACAGTGTTGAGTCTTTCAATTTAAGCAAAGATTTTAGATCAACTCTGATATTGAGGCTAAGAATGAATCTAGTTTTTTTCTTTGTCATAATAAGCCTCTAAACTCAGAGCAACTTTGAGTCATTAAACAAATTATAGAAGGTTGTATTCTTAATACATGAGCACAGATCTACTTTAATCAAGTTGTATTTTAATTTTAGTATGTATATGTGTATATAGACACATGTACATATATGTGTATATATGTATATATATACACACTTAAAATATATTTTGATATACATTTTAATTGTATATATGACATTTTCTCTGTTAGATAAAAATCTTGACAAAATTGACTCATGGTTATGATTCAGTACTTCCATTTATAGATGTCCTAATTTTGTCATCTCCTATGCATTGAGGAGGAAAATCATCAGTCTCCTATGGATGATTGAGGAAAATTTCAAAAATATATCACATAAGAATAATAATTATAGCAGGTTTACCTTTACCATATAATTTACACATTAGTCATTTAAAAAGGAATCATGTAAATACTTTTAAAGACAAATAAGGTCATTAAAATATAGTAACATATACAGCCAGAGAGAACAGAGTTCCTTTTTAGTTATTTGAGCTGTTCAATTATTTTTTCTTACCTGAGTTGTCAATGCATTCTATCATATTTACATTAGTAGGTGGTATTGTTGGTACACAGACTGTGGTCATATCCTAAAAGACAGGAAGCAACATTTTCTCATTCTTATCATACATTTGTTTTATTCTCAAATTGTTGCAGATTTCCTAAAAAAATACTTTGTAGGAAACCTCTGAAATTCATTTAAAACATGATCCTCATATTGAAAAGCTTCTCTGGTTACTTCCATCTAATTTTGATGTACTTTCGATTCCCCTTCCTTTCCCCATCAGCTATTCCAGAACAAAGTATTACATAGACTGAGTGATTATACCATCTTGGCTCATGTATGAAGACTGAATTGAGTCCCTTTCTTCAGATTAGCACTTACCCGGGGTTCAGGCTGTGGTCCTTCTACTGCCCATGAATGAATTGCTCCATCAGAACATTCAGGAACAGGTTCAAAGCCAGCTCCACCACCAGGGGCTCCTCCACATTCACAACAGATCAACAAAAATGGGACCACTGACAGTGGAAAGAGAGGAATACTGGGGTTAGTAGTGGGCCCTATTAAAAGAAAACAATCTGCTTTTTTATAGTTAAACTTGAATTTCTAATAAAACTTCTGTTGATTTTTAAATTATTATGGAAACTTTGGGAAACAAACTAATGGTCAGGTATCAAAGTAAATGTGAGCGTCAATAGACTACAATCAATATTAAAATTGTAAATAGTATAGCATGATTAAAACAGATGACCATTTTCCCTGTCACAGTATGGGAGAGAAGAAGCTGGAGGTACCAGGCAATATGCTTGGTTCTTCTGTTTTCTCTTTCATGCCTTTAGTTATTTTTCTATTTTTAGATATGCCTGCCTTTCTGTATTTCAATAACAAAATCTTCCTTGTGCACCCAGAGATTTTTCTCATTAGGCTATTATTTCCCCCTACACAGATATCTTTTCTTTGAATTACTTTTACACAAAGAGAGACTATCACACTGTTTAACAGTGTCATTTCCTGTTAATCAATTGGAGTTTTCTCTTTCATCTATTTATCATATTTTCATATAATAAAATATTTTCAAGTATTTTTGAATAAATGGGTAGATGAAAGAAAGGATATGTAAGTAAAAAAAAATTGAGGAAAGAAGGAAGGATAAAATAAGGAAGCAAGTTAGCAAAGAAGAAAGATAGAACTGAAATAAGAGAAAAAAAGTAGAGAGTAAACTAAGAAGAAGGGGAAAAAAAATCCTGTGTGCTTTGCTGTTTTAAAAATATAGTAGGATGGGAGAAAACTTTAAATCTAGAGGTATTGAATCAAAGGCCCATTTCTAATTTAAAAGCCTTAATTAACTACGGAAAGTTAATCAGCAATATAAAAACAAACTTATTTATTTATTTACACAGTTGTGATAATCACACTTGGGTAATCAAGTTACACTTATAAAGTAATATACTTTAAAGTTTTATAATATTGATGGGTAATCATTATGGCCAAAATTTAGAGGCTGGTATTTTCTCATATGCATTTTATGTTATGTTCTGCAAGTTTGCTAGCATTTTTACATTTTTCTTGCCTTGATTCATTTTGATGACATTTCATCCTTTTTAAAAACTTGTTCCCTCTTTCAGAGAACTGTTCCTGGTTACTACTTCAATACATTATGAGCCAATAAAAATGAACTCTTATTACTTACTATAGAAATTTCATTTTTTGGAGTATATTTTAGATACCCAGTTTTAAGCTGTGTTATTAGCATGTCCAAACTCTCTGTGGTTTAGACAAATTAGTGTTGATTACAATGTTCAAAGGGCACTGTTATTTAAAGTCAGAGTAAACTTGGTTTACAAAAAAGTTTGGTAAAAAAAATGTATATTTATGACTGTTCATGTGTAAAGGCAAAGGAAGGTAGAAAACGTATTTCATATGTAAGTGCTCAGAATTCACATTTTGTGTGTGTTTTAATTAAATATGTGAAGTATCTTCTGACGTGAAGATTTTTATGATTCCATACTTGAAATGGGAAATGTTTGCATTAACTTAATCATACTTCACAGTTTTCAACTTATTTATTTTAGCAGTTCCCCTCATTCTCAGACACTTTAGCACATGGCCCATCTCTCCCCTACTTTCTACCATCATCCAAGGCAGTGCTAAAAGCCACTGGAGAATCCACTGGATTGTACCTTGTGACTAGATTCTTGACTAGACCTCTAGGACCACAGGATGTGCTGAGTGCCTTGTGTGGTTCTTCTTTTCTGCTATCACAGCAATGTTGTGAAGTAAGTATCATTATTTCGCACATGAAAAAGGCAAGGTTTGGAAAGATTTGGCAACCTTTGAAAGATTCAGACAAGGAACCAGAATTCAGCCCTAGATCTATTTGAGTCTCCATTTTATTCAACTATGCAGCCTCGGCATTGCATGAAATCCTTTCAAGATATTGCTCCTGCCTTTCTTTCTAGTTTCAACCCTGACCATGCTTCAGGAACACCCTTTATTTCTTCCACACGGGAGTCCTTTATTTCAGTACCTGGTTTTCTCATTCTTTGGGGTTTTTACACATGGAATTTGCCCCCTCTTTGTATCTTGTTCCTTTTCTCTTGTCCCTAAAGCGAACTCGTACTCATTTGTTAAAACTCAACTCAGAGTTTACTTATTTTAATGTAGCCTTTTCTGATTGCTTCAATAAATTATTTCTGATYGTCTTCACCCAAATAGATCCATTTGAACTTGCTTGTTGTGGCATTTTCCCATCACATTGAGATTGACAACAAACAAATCTTTGCCTTCTACTGCACTATAAGGGGCCAAGAAGTTTGATTTTTTTTTTCATTTTGTAAACTCAGTACCAAGCATAGACATTTCTTGGGTAATTGYACAAAATCATAATTTGTAAAATATATTTCACCAAAGAATTAGAAAACTCTTTCTACCACCCACCATTTTTTTAAAGGKGGGGGCACATATAAATAGAATCGTGGAAGTACTTACATCCCAGGACTAAGAATCCCATGATGAGTAGTCCAATACCCGCAGGACCAAAATGTACATTATCTGAGGGAATTCCTCGACCACCTGAATTCTCATTAGGCAAATACTCAGTCGGTTCTCCATTGTCATTTCCTTGTGTGTTGGGAGTACCGGAATCAGTGGAACCATTCTCATTTGTGTTGGTACTGGTGTCTTCTCTTCCTTGGTTGTTATCGGTACCGGTACTGGTTTCAGTATTGGAACCTGTATCGCCGCTGGTGCTGGTACCACTGTCACCACCACTGCTACTTCCACCGCTGGTACCACCACCTTCATTACTAGTTTCCCAGCCAGAACCTTGAAGGTCAATAATGACTGTGCCAGTGCAAGTTCTCTGAAGAGAATCTATAGTGATGTTCAAAATAGAAGAAATATTTTATACATTGAGTGTAATAATGTTTGGATAAAGGTAGAACTATTTTTGTGCCAATACCTCTTTCAATGTCTTTATTGGCATAAATTTAGTAAGTCATCCCTTGTCTGTGACTCAGTTTTTATATACAAATATTTTTATATTATTATAATTAACCTTATTACTATTACTCTTAATCCTATTCTTGGATTATTCCTTTTTTGGGGGATTATTTCTTGAAATAATAAATAGTTGGGTACTACATAAAATTTTGAAAAGTATAGAATTAGAGAAAGAAGTAAAATAAAATAAAAACCCATAGTAGTAGTTCCAAAGGCCCCCCCATGTTGATTTGTTCTGATGACATTTTGTCTTTAATTATGATGTCTGAACATTGCTTATTATTTATGTTATATTGATAAGATCATATAGCTCATTCCAGTTTATATTYTTTACTTTAAACTATAAGCATTCTTTCATGTCTTAATACACTTTTCACCAATATAGTTTCCAAAGGTTATATGATTTCCTATCAAGTGGACCGTGATTGACCTGCTTCGTTGCCTATTGACTTTGCCTTCAATACTTAATTATTAAAGTTAGTGCTGTACTTAGCATCCCTGTATATTCAACCTTTAACATTTAGAACTTCTGCTAAGATTACTGGAAGTAGAACTATTGGGTAAAAATATAGGAATAATCTGAGTTAAGTTTTTCTCCCATTGTTGCTTGGAGATATTTATTAAGCCTCATTATGCCCTGTAATTTGGASAATGTGGACAAGAACGTAAACGACACGAACACTGCTCTGATTTATACTGTATGTTAGATATAATAAACATTAAATTAACACCTATCTGTTAGCCATCAGCTAGATGCTTTTCATTTAATCGTGCCATTTAGTCCTCAAAATTATATGATTTAAAGAGGTTACTGCCCAAATCTGGCAGAAGGAAAAACTGAAGTTTAGAAGTTCTTGCAATTTTCCCAAGACTTAATTATGTCAAAGTTAGAACTTCTGACTCTAAGTCCAGTGTCTTCTTCACTAGACAACAAAAAGGCAAATGATACATGACATTAATAAAAGAAATGCAGGTACTTTTGTTAGTGCTATTGTATAAATGTGAGCTCAGCTGTTTAACTTTTCATGGATATAATCTCAGACCTTGGCACAATGGTTGACCTTGAGTTARAACTCAATAYGCGCTTTCTGAAYAAAATGGAAGCAAATGTCTGAAAGGGTGTCAAAGAGAGATTTAAATCTCGTCAGTCTGATGTTAATGTCCATGCACTTTCACTCAACTGTGCTCATAGTATTGTTGTGCTTCTGCTATTATTTTTCATCAYTATCATCACATCATTCTAATTCAAAATTGTTATTGTCCCATTTCATAGAAGATTGAGGTAYGGATGGGCTGAATAACTTCTCTAGGATTCTAGGGTTAGTAAGAGATGGTACAGGATACCAATGCATCTCACCTCAGGGCTCATGCTTTTAGGCACTGTATCATACCGCCTCACAGCATTAAAGATTTGAGTCTGTAACACCCTACATAATAACTTTTGTTGAAAAAGTGTTTTTAAAAAATATATTAATGGGGYCTGGGGCTGTAGCTCAGTGGTAGAACACTTGCCTTTCACCTGTGAGGCATTGGGTTCAATCCTTAGYACCAATAATAAATAAACAAACAAACAAACAAACAAATAAAAGTACTGTGTCCATCTACAAGTAAAAAATATTTTTAAAAATATAAGAATGAAATGAAAATTTTAATGTCTGAGTATGTTCGCATATAGCTTTCTCTAGAAGAAAAATAATTTAAAATTGATTTCTTACCATCTATAGATAGAATTGTTCCTTGGTATTTTCCCCCMAGTCTGTCATATTGATCCTTGGTAACTCTGTTTCTTAAAGTGATGATGCCTGTTTTTGAGTCAACAACTAGCAGGTCAGAGGGATTATTTCCCATTACATATCTGTATTTGAAAGAAAATAATGTAAATCAATGTYAACTATCTTAACAAAAGACTGTTTAATCATAAAATGTATTTCTTTAGTCATAGTAATAAGTCCTAAGTATAGATTGCAATGAGCTGAGATTTTTTTTCACAGTACCAGCTATATGGGGCCATTCAAATGGAGGCCAAGATTTAATTTAAGGGAAAAAAAACCAATTAAGTAAGCATTTCTGATGAATGTCTTTTTATGCTTATATGCTTCAGTATCATCTCCCTTAGGTGACAGCAAGACTATCCAGGAAGACCTAGATCCTGGGCTGCTCTAAGTCTATATTATTCTCTTATCAAAAAAAAAAAAAAAGTTCCTTAGCCTTCCTCAGCGTGGCCAGCACTCCCTCTCAATTTCCAGTCCTCCCCACTAAATTCACAATGACTTTGCGAGACTGCTTTTGAATTCCAAACTTCGTCCTTGCCTGTGCATCCATCTTATTCTCCTTCTCTCTCATCTTTGACCTCAGTGTTCTCCTCATTGACATACTTGTGAAACAAACACGGGTCATATAACTCCCTGTCTCAGGCATTGTGCTAAGCTTTAAGGACAGAACCTTCAGAAAAGGGGAAGATGTGTCAGTGGATTTACTCCTGAGGGGTATGAGAAAGGTGATCAGCAATGGTGGTCCAGAGTGATGAGGTCAAGGACACAAGTGCTCACATGTGTGAGGAGAACACGGRAAAGAACTCTTAATACTCCTTAATAAGGTCTTTTCTCCACTCTTCCTGATCATAGTCACATGTGCAAATATATGCACAGTTTTTTTTTGTGTGTGTGTGATTAAGTAGAAGAGTTATACATACAGAGTTCTTAAACTATACTTTTTTTTCTTTTTTTCTTTCCTTATTTATTTATTTACTTTTTTGGTACTGGAGATTAAACCCAGGGGTGCTTTACCACTGAGACACATACCCCAGTTCTTTTGATTTTTTAAATTTTGAGACAGGGTCTCAAATTGCACTTGCTATCCTCTTGTGTCAGTCTCCTGAGTTGCTGGGATTACAGGCATGTACTACTACAYCTGGCTTAAACTTTATATTTTCTTATATCAAATACTTTAAGCGACGATTCAGTAGTTAGCACTTTTTGTCATAGAGAGTTCTTAAAGTCTTTATAATATAGCACATTTTTCCTTAATATAACTAATGTTTTGTATCAAAGTTATTGACTAGCATTTAATGCTGGTAAAAGTGAAGAAAATAGTCAAAATGGGCTAACTAAATCTAATTTATTTCAAGCTGAGAAATTTTGTAATGTGAAAATCAGTTTCATAAAATCTTCCCAGGATCTAAGGTGAGATTGGGGTACTGTGGAAAACCAATGCCTGTGGTAATTAGCTAATTGATTAATGAGATATATAAACACAGGCATGTAAGAACTTTCCAGATATATTATTGCCACTTATCTTCACAGTTTCACATAGTACATTTTGCACAAATTTTTATATTTTCTTAAATATCCCAAGTAACAAATCAGCAGTTAGTACTTTTTGCATTTGAATGACGGTTTAAAAATAATGAAAATATTTTAATTCAGATACTTAAAAAATTAAGAATAACATATGTACTTATGTTCAATATTTGGTAAAAATTAGTTGGAAAATGTCATTCTTACCTAACAGTTGTTGAAGCTGAACCTGTGTCCARGTCAGTAGCTATGAACTCTCCTACTTTATGATTTGCTCCCATATTACTTGTAACTGCAAATGTCTTTGAACCAGGGCGGAACACTGAGCCTTCCACTACATTTTCCACAACCACAGAGATTGCAGTTGCTGTGAGTTTATATTGAGACATAATTGAATGATGAAATTCAGCTTTATTTCTAACTCCAATGCTAAGTTGCAGRTTCTTTATTTCTTCGTAATCTAAGGGCTAGAAAATACAGAGTGAAATAGTTTTACCATAAGAAAACATTTCAGGGCTGGAAATACAGAGTAAAATTGTTATATTATAATAAAAAAATGCCCTTTTTATTAAAAATGTCAGAGAAAGAGAAGTCCTTTGAGAATAATAAAAGTGATTTCTTTCCATCATTAAATACAAATGCATGCAAAACCAAATCTATTCTTACTTTCTTTGTCTTTAATTCAATGTAAAAAATACATGCAAACATAGTAAGAAGAAGTCTAGTTGTCCTACATTCATTGTTGAAAAACTTGCCAATGTATGGCATGAACTATGCCCATTCAATAAATTAAAAACTTAAAATAATACAGATGGTCAAAATCATGTATCTTATAGTGCAAAGATAATTTATGTCAGCTTCCATCATTTTATGTTTTTATTCATAACAAAGTATGGGTCAACTATATTGGAGATTTGATCATTACACAAGTTTCAACCATAAAGAATTATTTAGAAGAAATTTTACTTCTGTAAATGTGATATTTTGAGTATGTCGGGTACTGGACTATAATATTGATATTTATTATATGATAAAATTCCTATTTTTCTCCAACATATTCTAAAAAAATTAATTTTGTATTATAAAATAATCAAGTAGTGAATTTCATTATGAAAAGTGCTGTCAAAATCCACAGCTCATAAAATCTACAAAACAACTAAGTCATTATGTCCCTATGTACCAAATAAAAAGATATTTTTCAGAATTTTTGCATGAGAGTAATTTAGATAAAAACAGAGATTCACACACTGATCTCTCCTGTTTAGCTAAAATTTTGAATTTTGGTCTTAATTGCAATTTAAAGAGTAGCTATAATAGCATATATGTATGTGTACATTACATACATAATTATCTCAACATAATTATGACAAAAGATTTAGTATATATGATATTATGTTTGAGAAAACAATTWTTATACTATATTCTGGATAGAGATATGAAAAAATATGATGAATAAATTTTTAAAGTAACATATTAGTTTAGGGTACAATAGATGAGGATCCAATTTCCCTAATATTGAATTGCTCATAGTATTATGGAAAGAATGTGAATTTCTTTTTATTTTTTATTTTTGGTACTGGAGCTTGAATCCAGGGGCACTTAACCACTGTGCCATATCCCAAGCACTTTTTATTTTTTATTTGAGACAGGGTCTTGCTRAGTTGCTTAGGACGGACCTCACTAAGTTACTGAGGCTGGCTTTGAACTTGTGATCCTTCTGTCTCAGCTTCCTGAACCCTGGGTTACAAGTGTATGGCACTGCKCCTGGCTAAGAATATGAATTTCATAGCTAGAAAAACATAGGTTTGAATGTTGGCTGTACCACTTACCAGCTATGAGAACTTGAGGAAGTTGCATAGTCTACCTGAGCCTTAATCTCTTTACCTGCAATATAGTCTAATATAACCTAATTTGCAAGGATGCTATGAGAGATAAAGCAAAGTTAGTGTATATTTCAGATATTAAATCTTATTACTCTTATAGCACAGGGTGAAACCTTCACTATCAGCTCCTTACAAGTCAAATACCTATTTTTTCTTGTATCTCAGAGAAAATTTTACTGCAGGTGAATGTGGTAGATCATTAATATGAGGGGTGGGGAAATAAGAGAACACTGGACCAAATATTTATATTTCTAATAGCCTTGGTCAGCAGCCACAGAAAGATGGGATTATGACAATTATTGTAATCCCAATAATTTAATTTTAATTTTATAAAAATGCATGAGAGGAATAAACAAATTTTAATTTACATGGTAAATATTCTTGGCATACAATAATTGACTTAGAAGGTTGAGCATGGGCACATTTTTTTTGAGCCTGATAAATCTGCGTTTAAAACATTCTGAAAAGATTAATATTAAWTATTAATCATATGTTGTTGAAAGTGTAAAATAAGATTCTCCTTTAAACATGCTTTCAATTCATATTATCTTTTGGGAGTACTGTAATGATAAACATAATTTCAAGTTAAAGTTCAATGCCTGGTTTTCTGAAATATTATAAGCAGAAAGATTTCATATTTAAAAAATTTAARTCATTTATAATTTTAAAGCACAGTAATTCTTTTTTTTTTAAAGAAAGAGGGAGAGAGAGGGAGAGAGAGAGAGAATTTTAATATTTAATTTTGTTTTAGTATTTGGCGGACACAACATCTTTTGTTTGTATGTGGTGCTGAGGATCGAACCCGGGCCACACACATGCCAGGCGAGCGTGCTACCRCTTGAGCCACATCCCCAGCCCCACAGTAATTCTTATTCTTTCACTAACTCAAGTGTGTAAAATGTTATTGTCATTTTAAACAATATTTTGAAAAAGATCAAGAAAACAAAATAAGTAGGATAATTGCACTATACCTTGACAACCTTTAGAATTCCTACATTGGTTCTTTCATTCATTTCTATTTCAAACCAATTTCCTTCATTTCCAGAGATAAAAAAAATTACTGCCATCCAGTTAGCTGTGTATTCTTCATCCAAATCAATTACTCTAATCTGGAGTAGGTCTGAATGTAGAGCATTTTCTTCAATATTTACAGAGTACTAAAACAAGAAGTGGGGAAAAAAAAACMAACACAAACTATGAAAGAAGAACTGTACTAGGCTTGTATTGATGTTTTAATATTATTTGTTATTTAAAAATTATATCTGTTATAATTTTATTTTTCATTGTTTAAATATATTTTTCCCTGTTGTATAAACAAACACAAAAAGTGTATCTACATTTCAATTATGTTATTACACATATATCTGTAAATATAATTGTGCAAAATTTAAAATATACTGATTTTAAATCATTAGATTAAAAACTGAAAGAACAASTACTTACCGAAGACATCTCCATATATGGAATGTTATCATTGACATCCAGGATTTTAATATTGCATTCACACTCTGCTGACATGCCGTCTGCCCCACCATCTCTGTCTGAGCCTCTCACAGCAAGAGAATACTGGCCATATTGCTAAAAGTWCACATTACAAACAATATCACACTTGACATAGAGTCTTTACTCTGTCTTATGTAAAGTTTTTCTAAAAGATTGACTCAGCATTTACAGAAGTCTATGATAGAGAGAGGGATAACACAGACTGTTGAAAAATCCACCAGTCTCACATGAGCCAATATGGAAGYGGCCACTTCTATTCTCAGCATTATTTAAAAGAAGCGACACTTTTTTAAAGATCTTGTGTCTTTTTAATCATAATAGGTCCAGAGATGGAAAAAGTTGATAAATGATGAAACAGACCAGAATGATCAAGAGGAGAAAGATCAGACCAATGTTTACCAAAGATTTAAGACACGAAAATTMCATACATCAGCCCTTGAATAGGTGAGAAAAATAAAGGGAGAGAAACARTTTGTATTTTGGGGAGGTGAAAAGTTGTGGCACTGGAGTTACTGATGATGTATCTATTCTTGGTCCTATGCAGTGGTGTTTACATTTTAAAAAGTTGGTAAAAGCTACAAAGTTTTTTTTTTTTTAATTAAAAATTTGGGTGTAACTTTAAGGCATTCATTGTTAAAGACATCTTGATATCTCTTCATGGCCAGGTTTCTTAATGTCTGACACTCCTTTCTTAAAGCTCTTTACCATTATAGCTATTTTGATATTAAAGGATTCTCACTGGGATGCTTCAGAAAGTTTGAAGAGCTAAATAATCAATTTCTATTACTGATCATTTTCAAATGTGTAAAAAAGGAGATTTTGGTAACATAGAAACTGATAGCATTTTTTAAAAATTTGAAAATAATCTAATTTATCCTAAACCTAAGAGTCATTAGTAGGGAGATTGTCATTTTGAAATAGCTATAATAATTAAAATAAAATTTAATTATGCTTCAATTAGAAGATAAAACATCTTCATTTGTATCCCTAATGCATATGCAGATTTGATACATTCTATTTAAAGAATATATTTCTTAAAAAATAAAAAAATAGGTATTTTAAAATTAAATCATGGGACCACATGATACAATATAAGTCATGCAAGGGTGATTCTACTCTGTTAACAATTATGAGTCATTATTTGTAAATCAAAGATTGGTTTGGGTGTTATTTAATTCCTATCTGTTATTTTGACCCTGTGATCCAGTTCTGAAAGTAAACCAGTAGGTGGGCTGCCAGTAGATGTTACATGGAAGGAAAAAAGAAAGAGATGGAGGGAGGARGGKGGGGKGGGGKGRGGKGGGGGATTAGAGTACTGCTTCCAAAGAAATCAAATTGTGCTAGGTTAAAGAAACAAGCTGGCTTCTTTGTCTCAATATTATATTCTTGGAGCCTCTACCATGATCATATGCACTGTGACTCACCAACATGGGACCAACAGCAAGTGTTTCTTATGGTTATTTCATTAAAGAGCACACCTTTTATTTTTTAATGACGCTTTTATCTCTACGAAAATTTTATGTCCTTTCACAATACATTTTTCTTAAATTAAGGCAAATCCTAATCAATTGATGAAATGAAAGATGTTGGAATAAAATGTCATTGAATAATCCATACTTTTTTCATTTACATATTTTCTTGTTACCATTATGAGAGATGATTATATAACTAATAACTTCAAAACATTGTTTTCTTTCTYTCTCTCTCTTAAGTATTCTTATTTTTAGAATCAGTTCCTTTGACTAAACACCCATTTGAGGAAAAAGAATTACCTCTCTGTCTAGAAAATTRTTCATTGTTCGAATTTCTCCAGTGTATCTGTTGATGATAAACATTGGTGAATCAGAAGGTTCCTGTCTTATGATCTTGAAGGCTATTTTTGAGTTCAAATTGTTTGGTTCATCTGCATCAGTAGCATTGAGTCTCATCACCAGTGTATCTAGAAATGAAGGAAAATAGATTGCAAAGAGACAATTTACATTTTTGCTACAGTATAGTATGTTACCTACCCAACAGTGTGTTAGTTGTTCCATATAATCTTAGTATCTTCCCTTTCTACTGCTTCAACACATCAATACCTTAGCGCCTTTGTTTGCCTTTGTCTTAATARGAGATCACATTTTACTAGAAGCTCAGACATTTCTGAAGCTAGCAAACAAAGGAAGTGTATTATTCTGGATTTCCATTTCTTATTTTAGTACAACTTCTTCTTCTTTAGGATGTTTTGTTTAGGTGAAACAAATGATGTTAAGACCCAATCAACTTTTTCTTGACTTTCACACTTCGCAACTAAATCATCTGGTCCTTAGTTTCCAYAGCTATAAATAGAGATGATGGTAATATATTTTTGTTKAGATCAGACAAGATTTAAATAGCTAATGAAGTTCCTATTGGATATGCACTTTTAGTAAATATATATTATTATTGTTTGGGGCTGTTCTCAGTTAAGTGCTGAATAACTAGTAGATTTAAAGAAATGTTCATTTAACTACATGTAGTCCTGTCCTGTCTCTTATCTTTTCCGTTGATCTTAGGAGTGTTTTTTCCGGGAGATGGGGGTATACCAGGGATTGAAATCAGGGGCACTCAACCACAGAGCCACATCTCTAGCCCTATTTTGTATTTTATTTAGAGACAGGGTCTCACTGAGTTGCTTAGGGCCTTGCTAAATTGCTGGGGCTGGCTTTGAACTCRCTTTCGATCCTCTTGCTTCAGCTTCCYGAGCCGCTGAGATTACAAATATGTGCCTCTGCACCGGGCCTTATGAGTGGTTTTAATGAAAGGTGCTATAGACTATGAAAAGCTGCAAGTATTCATTTATAATCTAGAATTCTTTTCTACCTTCCAAACTGTTTCAAAAAAGTTTTTCTACAAGTGAAGCAGGGCATCTCTTCCCTTTTCTCTCCCTTCTTTTCTTTCTCCCTTTCTTCATTTTAGCATAGTTTAAAAAATGTTTAGCATAGTTTAAAAAATATAGGTAATTAACTAATTATATGTATATAATGTGAAATCCAGTGCAACTATTGAAATAAGTGAAGAAATCAGGAAAGATGGCCTGATATGGAAATATGTTCAAAATATATCTAAATAAAATTGCATGGATTAGTATGCATAAGGGTAYTACTTATGTCCAAAAGCATGTTTATTTATGTTTATATAATTACAAAACATGTACCTAGTACAGATGTTAAAGTTTGCCTCCAAAGAATGATACTAGGGAGAAGAAAAAAATAGATTCCCATTTCCATTTTAAATTTATTTGAATTTTAAAAATTCAAAGTATAGATATAGTATTTAAATGAATAAAGTAGAATGTGAGGACTTTTAGAATTTATAAGAAGTTATACTATTTAAAGATTAAAAGTTCCTATGTAAATTGAGGTTTTGACTTCAAAGGAACAACCTTATCTGTTCATGTGTTTAGGCCACCCTTTAATGGCATGATAAACAGCTAACATACTTAGGTACCTTATGTATTAGGCAGTTAAACACTGCCCTAAACAGTGATCCATAAAGAGACAATGGCTCCTTGAGACTGTCAAAGTCCTTGCAGGTAAGTGCTCTAACTTAAATATCTAACTTAAAAAGAAACATGATGATCAGAAGAGGTGAGACTGCCCTTCAACACAGCCAGGTTGGGAGACTAAATGTTCATCCCTATGCCCCTGCCACCACTTTGGAAAATGCTCTTGGAATTTGTTAGGAATCTTCTACAGAGCCAGTGTATGAGTCACATAAATAACTCCTCCTCATTGCCTTGGAGCTGCTTCTTGTAGATGATGGACTGGAGCTACTTCTGTAGTTGAAGGGAAAGCCTTTCTGTTCAGAATGCTTTTCTATGGGCTGTCTCTAAAATCCGCCATGTTTACCTTGATGCAGTTTAGTCTGTAGTTGCCTGGAAGTAAAGAGTGATCTGGAAGCYAATATGTTCTTGTTTACTTTAATAAAGTAGACTACTTACTTGCATTAGAATTTTCTTCTATTTGTCCTACAAATGTAGACATGGAAAACACTGGAGGATTGTCATTTATATCCAAAACCCTGACTCTAAGCTCCAGAGGTCTCTCCAAATCTTGGCCCATTGAATTGAGAGCTCGGCAATAGATCTAGRAGAGAGAAAAGAAGAATAATTATAYGGCGAAAGACATATGTATTAAGTTCTGACTTTTTTCGGGGGGCTTGATACTAGGTACTGTTGGAAATTAAAAGATAAGACATATTATTACTATCATTTTATACTAGAATATAGGCACAACTTATATAGTCAACAGAGAAGGTGAACATGAACACAAAATGTTAATTAAGACAATATGATAAGATATAAAAAGGAAGAACAAAAATACTATGACTTTGTAGAAGAATGTGATGATTGAGGTAGATCTTGGAAGAGAGTTTCAACAGATGGAGCTGGGAATTGGCAGGTGTTCCAAACAAAGAGATTCTTAGAAAGGAAGAAATGTAGTGATGTGAATGCTGTGTTTAAAATTAGGACAGGGGTGATTGGGAGTGGGGTTGATCACAGGGTAAAGAAGAGTCACATGGGAACTTTGAAGAAATGTTGTAGGCCTTTTTTCGGCAATAAGAAAATAGTTTTTTTTCCTGAACCATATATGAATGACTATGGCCCCAAAACATGGATTAAAGTTACTCTGAATAACATGTTCTGAAATGCAGCATTCTAAAGTAAGGAGCCACTGTGGGGGTATTTGCATTATTATTATCTGCAATGTGCATAAGTCTGATGTTTACTATTTCATATATGTGATACATTTTGTCTAAATGTGGATTGTGTGTCAAGAAAAACTGATAGATTAGTTGGCTGATTTGGAGTTTGTGGGGATACACTGTGGAAGAAAAGGCAGGAATKCAGATTTGGAATTGAAGGCAGATATGGAATTAGAGTAGTCATAGGATTAAGCCATATGAGTGAGATCAGCAAGTGCAGATTGCTATTTGAAGGCCTTTTTTGGATATGAATTGCTGATATTTTAAGAGATGAGATTACAAAATCAAAGAAGAGTTTATTTAAATTTTTTTTTTACTGTAAGTATTAATAGGTGTGGACTATAATGATAGATATAAATGGAAGCAGCCAATGGGACAAGCAAAAGATAAATGAAAAAAAAAAGTTGATGGGATAAGGCTCTTGAAGAAAGAGGCAATTATGGCACAATGGGAATATCTTGGCTTAGGTGTGGGGAAAAGCAGAGACTTGACTCTGCTTTTGGATTTAATGAAGAACATTTCTGATCTGGAGGAGAGAGAATTAATTGTGGGAATTTGTGTTGGGTGGCCCCAGCTTTTTAAAGCTGGTCTCAGAGTCAGTTGCTTAGGGGKAAATGAAGTTGAAGATTTGAAGAGAGAGGTGCTGGAGCTCACGACAGCTCCTGCAAAAAGTGGAGGGCAATCCAGGTAAGGACGAAAGAATTTCTAAGGCTCATTTAGAGAATTTATAATCAAATTGTAACACATTTGATTATAAATTCATATTTAATATTAATAAATTAATAGTATCAGAACAGAATCCTTCATTAGTGGCATTGGAATGGAAAAGAACCAACATTTTCAACTGAATTATTTTAAAAAGGAGTAAAATTTAGATACTTGTTCCTTCAAATAAATATTCTAGTTTGCCACAGGGGCTGAGTAGACACTGGTATTTTTGCTAACCCTTAAGTGAAATATTCCTTTCTCTCTTAATTTTCTCTCTATTTATTGGATATTGAGACTCTTGATATCAAGTCAAGCATTGATCTGAGTTTGAAAATTTCCATGAATAATTTAGGCCTGAACACACACACACACACACACACACACACACACACACACACACACTCATTAGATAAAACCCACTTACAATGAAATAAGGAGTGACCTCTCGATCGACTATGGATGTTATATTAATTTCACCAGTTTTTTGGTTAATAATGAAGATTCCATAAGGTGGTTGATCAATTCCTACTCCAGAGATGCGGTATGTAACTTGCTGGTTGGCAGCACAATCTGAATGAATCTGCACAAAGAACACAAGTGAAAATATTACAGGGAGCAAGGAAAGGGTTCTATATTGGATATGTGACAGCTATCTTTCTTGAGAATTGTTGAATGTGKGGTCCCTGTCATCATTTGGGAAATGTTGAAAACATAGAGTTATTTTCCTTGAGTTAAGTGTAATACTTAACTTTACTTTCAATAATAATGRTAGTATTTTTAATGGTAACCAACAATCAGGAAAACAAATTCAATTTCTATTTCTACTAAGACCAAAAAGGTAAAATATCACCCCCATAAATTTAAATCTCTGCGCTTGTCATTCATTCAACATTCATAATTTGAATTTGTGTCATTTTCAAGCTTTGTGAGCTCTKGATCTGGAGGAGAGAGCTTCTCGTTCTGTCAGGAGTTCACTGGTGCTCTCATTGCATAACTTTGATGGTCAGTATTCAAAAACTAAAAAAAAAAATGTAAGATTTAAAAAGAAAGTTTTAAGTGCATTTATGTAGGTATCAAGTTACTTAGAGATTTTAATTCTGAAATTGTAGAGGATGCATTAGCAGATAAAGAAGGAGGYTGCTCAAATGAATGCTTTTAGAAATCAGAACTCTTTCTTTGAAATAAGGCACTGTATGCCAGCAAACAAATCATACGGGAAGTCTGTGTATATCTGTGTGAATGGGTGTGCACATTTGTGTGTATCTGTGCATGAACCTATCTATATATCTGTGTGTGTGAATCTGTGTGTGCAGACACATTTCTGATTGTGGTTGTGTATGTGTGTGCAGGGAGGAAAATGAAGGAAAATCAAAGAAAAAATATAGCACAAAAGAGGCACCTGTGGATGTTCCTAAATAAGCACAAAATTAGGAATTCAATTCTGATAGATTATGAAGCAGAAAAAGCACATGCTGAAGTGGTTCCTGTGAGTGTGACAAACACKAAATTCTTCAAATCACAGTATTTTTTTTTCCCATTTAGACTCCTGGGTGGCACATATGTTAATTTTGCCAGCGAGGTGAGTCAAGTCTTAATTGTTCATTTAAATACTCAAAATTCTTAATCTATCCTTTTAGGAACTTCGGTTTTCACAATTTGAATGATTCTAGTTCTTTGTCATAATTCTCAGTGAGATTGTTCGCCACACATTTAAAAGACAACTTCTTTTGAAACCTGAACACCATCCATTTTGATTTTCAGCTTTGGTTTCGGGGCTGACAGTTACCTTGGCAATTGGGTTTCTCTTGGAGTTGTCTTCACCTTCACGGCAGGCTGCAGCAAACTTGATCCATTCACGTTTTTGCCTTCTGATCGAATTCCACTTGATGGTGCCATTTTTAGTATTATAATCTCTAACCTTGAATAGGGAGGACAAAGTAATAGTATCCATWATTTATAGTTCATATTTCACTGGAGGTTTTGGAGGAGGGGGAAATTATAATGTTAAAAAGAAAGGATGTTCAATTGGGGAAGCTGGTAATTTTGGTAGTCTATTAACTTCAGCATGACATTAACTTTATTTATTTTTGAATTTATTTTTATTTTGAGACAGAGCCTCACTAAGTTACTGAGGCTGACCTTGAACCCATGATCCTCCTGCTTTAGCTTCCTGAGTCTATGGGATTATAGGCATGTACTACCATACCTGGTTTAGATTAACTTTACATATTAGAATGAATCTTCTTTGGAAAAAATTCTGTTATAAACATTTTTCTTTTCTTTTTTAATCAAAAATCATTTTTCAATGGATTTGAGGGAAATTACCTGGATTCGAAATTCACTGTTAACTTCCACCACCACCTATGGAAAAAAAAAAAAGATAATTACAATAGTCGATTTTTAATTGAATGTTATAAAATTCATGTTATCCCATCATTAAAAAAATCAAACAATAGTCTTGTGAGTTATTAGAATTATTCATCAGTCTGAATAGCTGATGGATCTGGTTTGGCTCTGGGGTCTGGTAAGAACCTAAGAATTCTTCCTGTTTTTACTTTTCACTTTGCTTTTCTTTTTATTACTTTTTAAAAATCTTTTTTTTTTTTCATTCTAAGCTATGTAGATACTCCCAATCACATTTTTGAAGCAAGATTCCATGAGAAACTAGGGTTGGAAAATCAGTTTTCTTAATAAATCCTGTTCCTGAAGAGCTAGAGATATTCTGATATTATGCAGTGGTAGTCAATGGTAAGTCCTGTATTAGAACTTGGGGCTATGGTTGCAAGATTTGACATGCTACAAATGGAAATAGAAAAACAAAATTGTTCAAAGTAAAGGAGAGAGCTGTTTAGAAAACTTCATAGCAATTCTTCCTTTATATTCCAGTTCTAGATGGAAGGTTTTCTAGTCTTTTTAGAAATTTTAAGAAGACAACTCTCCTGCCTGCTTTGAAAAATAAAAATAAAAATTTTGAAATAAAAGCAAATAATTTACTATATGTAAAATGAGTTCATATTCGATGTTTTATTGTTAACATTAAAACTGAAATAGATGCTATAAATGCAATCTTCTATAGCAAGGAGAGGAAAATACAGGAGTGTATAAATTGCTACAGATGAAGTGTTCATTAATCTTTTCTTTTGCAATTTCTCTGGTCAAACAAGTGTGCTGGTCATATTTCTGCCTAGTTTAAGCTCTGGCCACGATCTTTACACGTGATCAGTAGTGAAACATCAGTATAATTTAACTTATTTTTTCCCCTAAAAACCACAAGTGTTTTRTAAAATATAAGACATACACACTTCAATTCTGATGTTTCCATATGTTTGTTTAAATATTGCTTAGACATRGTTTTGATGGCTAGTTTGCATTTATTAGGTTTTAGATTGCACTTGGAATTAATTAAAGATGGTGTACTTCCTTAATAAGACATGTTCAACATCTAATTGAGTTTTTTCCAGAATTGCAAAGAATGAAAATTGTTTTCACAATCAGACATTATCTGCATCAGTGATATAAGAAAATTACTGGTTACATTTTTAAAATAATAATAATAGTAATTTTTAAGTATGGTAAAATTCTTTTGATMGTTTGTTTTTAACTTCACTCTTAAAGAAAATGTAAAATGCCAGTCTCCAAGTACCAATTTTTAAAAATTGTCATGATTTATAATTCAAGAAAACATGTATTTATAGTTAATATGAGTAGTGTGAAAAGAGAATTATTTACCCATGGTGTAGTATTAATCATAATTATCACTGTTATGATTAACTGAATGATAACTAAGTACTAGACAATATGTTTAGAGGAATCTATGCATTTAATCTTTTTGGGAGGGTCTCCACATCAAAGCTAATGGGGAGCATTTTAAAGATTTATTTTGTTTTATTTTTATTGTTGCATTATAATTATTTATAATAATGGGATTCATTATGCCATATTTGTATATATGCATAACATAATTTGATCAATCTAGTTCCCCAGGACCTTCTCTTTCCCTTCTRTTCTCCCTCCAGTGATTCGCTAGCTATGTACTTAATCTTTGCAGTAAGTCCGTGTAGTYACTATCCGTATTATCTTCATTTAATGGATGAGGAAATTGGGGCRTGGCTATTAATTTATGGCTACATATGACCCAATAAATCTCAGCTTAAACTTGTGCTTGGGGGTTTTACAATAAATGATATGTTCCCTCAAAACGTATTATACAGAATTGACATAACACCTTAGAGAACTCAAAACTATCTGATAATTTAATATATTATCCTTGCATGGATGAGAAACAGGTTTTGATTGTTCTGTGGTGCCAGGGATTGAATCCAAGGGCTCTTAAGCACTGAGCCACATTCCCAACTCTTTTTAAGACAGGGTCTCAATAGGTTGCATATAGTCTCCATAAATTACTGAGGCTAGCTTCGAACCTATGATCCTCCTGCCTCAGCCTCCTGAGCTGCTGGAATTACAGGCTGTGCCATCTTGTAATAACAATGACAACAGTAGTAAAAGGGAAAAAAGGAAAGTCAAAGGCCTAAATGTTTTGCACATGTAGCTGAGATTTTATCTGTAAAGTCTGTCTTGAGTACAAAACTGAAAAGATGCTTGTGCAAATGCACTCTCGATACCTGTAGAGGTGAAGTACTTCTCCCTTTTTGCTGTTTGTGGAACGGGGGGATGTGGGATACCTTATTTGTCAGTTTGGAAGCCCTTTGTTCATAGTTACAGAGCTGCGTAGACATCTGTTATCTGTTTTTGCATTTCCCTTCCTGCGGTGAGGTGTCCTGTCTGCTGTTTGTTTTGGATCAATGTCCCAGATGACTAAGAGACTTTTCCCACTTTATGAAGCTGGGTCATTCTTTTTCCCACGAGAGGCAACTTAGGCAGGAGACCAAGCAGGTTTCACCATTGTGTCAGACTCACAATTGGATGGGTAATTAAAAAACTGCCAAGTCTGCTTAAAAATGTGGTGGGTTGACCTAAGCTTATTTTCTTTTGCTCAGAGTCTAGAATAAGCTCAGATTAAGCTCAGATACAATGTCACTCTTGGACTTTCAAAGGCAAAATAGTGACAAAAAAAAAAAAAAATCACTGGGAGAGTCAGAAAAGCTTCTAAATCCTCTGGGCTTTAGTTTCATTTGTAAAAGAGGAAGACCAACTTACATACCTTTCCAGTTCTAACATCATCTCCCTTTGTTCATTAGGAAGGTACGTTTTGATCATGGGAAAGACATGATAAAAATTGTGAGCTTAAAAGATGACTCAGACAACAGTTGGTAGAAGTGATGGGAAGAGGCAGCAATTACAGTATGTGAGCAGTTGAGAGTCTCCAATATCAAGTTCGGTTAGAGGCAAGGAGAAGCTAAACCTGAGCAGAGGTAGTAGGAATTGACAGGGAAATATCAACACAGGGAGATATTAGAATTGACAGAGCCTCAGAGATGGGGGAATCAAGAGAGGGAAGAATCTCAGATGATGGTGATTTTAAAAAGTGAGCCTGAAATCAAGGAATTAGCAGATTGTATAGAACACATTGAGATGTAAGAGAAACACTCAGGTAAAGATACTTAACCGTTTGTAAAACGCATCTTCACCTTGATCAAAAGCTCAGCCTGGATACCTAGATTTGAAGTTCCTGTGCTCAGGCAGGATAGTTGAAATCATGGGAGAAGTTGCAATTCTTAAAGTAAAGGGTACAGAAAAGAAGTTGTCTGTGGCTGAGATGGGAGCAGGGAATTCCAACATTTATATAACTGGAAATAAGTTTAACAAACAAGAAACAAAGAAGCAGAGAAGGAGTGGCCATCGAAACAGGAGGAAAATATAATGCATTTTAACAGATCACAAGGGAAGGGGAAATTGAGACAGATGGTGTGTAAATAGGCATCAGATGATATTTTTAAAAGGTGAAAATGTGAATCCTGAAGACCTGAGGTTTTCGGTAATCTTAGAGAGAACACTTTCATAAAGATGGAACCAGCATTTGCTGGATTGAAAAAGATTAAGGAATAAAGAGGAGGGGAGGAAGACACAAAGATGGCCGCTCTTCCAAGAAATTTGTTGATAAAAGGAAACAAAGCTAAAACGAAAGGATTAGATACGGGAATCCAGAAAATTTGGGTGGAAAAGGGAGATCTCTGGATTTTTGAAGTTGAGGAAGGAGACAAGGAAATTTTGACTTAAAATAAAAGAGATTCTAACAGAAGATGCTAAACAGAGTTGTTGGGATGGAGGGAGGAGGACGAAATAGGCAAAAAAAGAAAGGACTTCAGAGACAGAGGACAGAGAGGAGAAGGAGGATGGGGACAAGAATTGATTAGGCCAAGTAAGCTGAAGGACATTGCTCTGATCTTGTCCCTGGAGTAAGGTTGAGGTTGTTTTCTGACAATTAGGGGAGTAGAATGGGTGGAAATAATTCTGGAACCAGGTTAGGGAGCCTGTGATGGAAGTTCATGCAGTGAGGAATATGGGGCAACCCCTAAGAGTCTCTTTCTTGTCCCCTGGTTACAGGCACAGGGATGGTCACTCTGTGCCTCGATTACCTCATCTGTATGTGAGAACTGAATCCTCTCGTATTCTAAAATTGATTAATTAATGGATTAATCCATCTAAAGTACATCTTCGGTGAGTTCCCCTGTTCATCTTTGTTTTAGGAGACAATCTATTCATTTATTTATTTTGAAAAAGCCACAGGATGCAAAATTGCATGGTAATTTTAATGATTCCTTAATTGCAGTTGTAGCTTTTTTTTAAATTGAAGTGTATATTTTTTATATAATAAGAAATAGACCTGAGAAAGTAATTTTATAAGGAAACTCTCTTGCATTTAATGATTTTGAGCATCAACATGTTAAGCGTCAAATCTTAATGCATTTAACGGCTATGTATGTCACAAGGATGAATTTAAAGCAAAGGTAAAATATCATTTACTTATTTTTAAAAACCTCCTCTTTGTCTTTCTTCTTTTTACTACTCCAGCAAAGGATATCAATCTGAGGTTGATAATCCCTCAGTTGATTTCTCACATTTTTTTTTATTAGTTTGTGCATTTCTTTGACAAACATGTATTGAATGTGTATTCTATGGATCCAAGGCTACTTTAAGACTTAAGAAGGGCCTAAATCCTAAAAATATTATGGTAAGCCTTAGAAAAAAATGTCAAGAAAATGCAATACTATGTCATAAAAAKTTTAGGAAAATCCAAAGTGATTATTTCCAAGTTTAATACCTTGATATTTTTGGGAGGGTATGTTTGAGGAAAGAAAAACAAAACTATCCAAAAATCCCCCTTGCTCAGTGTGATTAGATATCTGCTGAGCAATCTTGCACAGATTCAAGGCATTATGAGGAACACAAAGCTGAACCAGGCACAGAACCTGCCTTCAAATAACTTATAGTCAAGTAGACTCCTAAACAACAGGCAGCTCTGAATTTGTGGAGACGGGATTTCTCATCAGAGCATTGTTCTCTTAGACCAATTAAGAGTATGGATCAGCTGCCAATGGCATTATAAAAAATTTCAACCTAAGTCCATTAAAGAATTTGCATGCCAAGCATAATCAGTGGGGGTGGCATGACCCAGCACTCTGTGAGGGCGTTCCCTGAGCATCATGAAACTGCAATGCCAGGYAGAGCAGGCTTCGAGCTTATACAGCAGGCAGTGCCTATTAGGACACAAGGATACTCAGCAACAGTGTCCTTGATAAAAGCAGAGTGAAGAGCTATCAGAGGTGAAGTGTTCTGGATGTAGATAAAAAATGTCATTTTTTTAAGAGTCACGAGACTCTTCAAATATGTGAATTTTGACCCTCAGGGTCAAGTCTTCAGATTGATAAATTTGCATTCCTAGTGATTTAGGTTTTCCTATTACTTAAAACCTTAGGTTGGCAGAATGCTTTTACTGTGAAGCAACTCACACTAATTGAGTGGTGATACATTGGCTTTCCTGTTTATGTAAAGGTGAAAGAAGATGCTGATCCTGAAACTGCATTGAAATAGTAATTCTGATTCACTAGCCCTGTATCAATGGAAATGGTTACGATTAAATACAATTTGTGAGTTTCACTGAATAGATGAACAGATCTACTGCTTCCATTTTCTATAAAATATTTTACTGAAATACTGATCTCTATAATGTATGTAACTATAATATGTGCAGAGTTCTCTCCTCGGCTCGTCTGCTCGGTCTGTACTAGTTTTTTAGCCCTCTCCTGCTTTATATGCCACTGAACACAGTTAAGGGAACTTAGGATGTTTGATTCAAATCCATTGATGAATCAGGTAATAAAATGAATATAATTTTCAGTGTATTTTAGTCTGAGTGCAATCATGTAGATCTTTTTCCTTCCTTCCTTTCTATTTTTTTTTTCTTTATTTTGAGTGCTTTTTGAGACAGGGTCTTGCTAAGTTGCTCAGGCTGACCTCAAACTTGTTATCTTCCTGCCTCAGCCTACTAAATCCCTCAGATTACAAGCATTCACCACCACATCTGGCCAGATGTCTTATATTTGGTGCATAGGTAACATTGTTCTATTGCCAAAACAGCATACATTCTAACTGTTTCCTCCACTCTAAATGCTAATTTTATGGAGGAAAGGAGAGGTGAAAGAGAAGGAGAAGGAGAAGAAAAAATCAATGTGAAACAGTTAATGTTTTTGGCTTTCAGTGTTAAAGCAGATGTGGGCTATTATCGGTCCAGAAGACTTGTCTGAGTACTGGAACAATCTTGAAACAACCTTGACTACTTTAAGAGTAGCTCCTGTGCTTTACTCTCTCTGGCCCAACTCATAGATTGAACAAGGTCTAAAACTTTCACATATGTCTAGCCGACTATAYGACATGCTGTGAACAGACAGTTACCCAGCTCTCAAATGGCTTTGCATTATGGACACTAACAGTTTAAATATCTTAAATATCTTCACAATTGTTCAAGTATGTTGCTACATGGATTTTTATTTATGAATTTGAGCAGAGAAAAATATAAAACCTTTATGTAGTTTTTTTTTTCTTCTTTTTTTGGTATAGGCAAACATTTGTTGTGAGATTAGAGGAAAGGAAATTGAAAGAGTTTGCTATAGTGGTGGTTGTCTTTAGGGAAGAAATATTTTAAAGCAAAAGACAGATTAGAGATTCCAAAGGACAGTTACCAAACMCATCTGGTAAAATCAGCAGTAAAAATAAATTATGGCCTTCAAAGCCTTAGAAAGTGAAATGTTTTACAAAAAATGTTATGATGGCAATATGAAAAATAAGATATTTAAGGTCATTACAATATAAGTTTCTCAAGAAATATTTTTCACAAGACATGAGAAACTTGTGATTGATTCCAAACTGAAATATGGTCAAATGCTCCTCATTCCTCCAAAATCAATCTATAAAAAATCAAAGTTATCCAAACTCAGAAATTAAAGCACAAATGCCCAGAAACCTCTCTCCAAAGAAAGCTCATTGAGAATACATGATTTTTATAAAATGATATGTTTTATTGAAGAATGATTAATTAGGACATAGCTGCTTAAAGGAATTTATAGAATGAAAATCAATTAGAAATAATTATATAGATCAAGAAGCAGGGCAGATCTCATAGACTTAATGAAGGTACATAGACATTTGAAAACTCTAATCAATTAAAATTATACAATAAACTTTAATCAGTCAAATTTACATGAAAAGAATTTGTGTGAAACTAAAAATAAAAGTATTTGATTATTTGGCAATGAAAAAATATTCCTAAGGTAAAATATCAGAGTGGTAATGCTTATTGATCATGGCCATATCTTAAGTTATGATATCAACTGAAACTGAAAATCCATTGACAAGTCTATGGCATAGGAGTAGTGATGTTTGAAGTGCAGCTTGAAAAACTAAAGCTATCAGTTTACTGAAGCTCATTGGTAACTTAATGTACTGTTATGACCTATTTTCATTAATAAGTGGAATTTAAACTAACCAGCTTACTTTGCATCAAAGATCTACCTTGTTATTACACAAACCCAACATTCCAGTTCAAAAATTAAGCAAGTAGAAACAAATATGAACCACATCCTGCCAAAGCTGGAGGGTGATTTACCTGGCACCTGCCTTGTGGGATTCCATGAGTCTTACGGTGAGGCAGACTATGACTTTAAAATTGTTGCACAAAATGAGATTTCTTTTTTGATATAAGGTATTGGTGTTGCATTTAATATTTATCATCTCTAAAGAGAAAACTAATAACAGGTAAGGGGGCAATGATAAACCATTTCCTGACATCATTGACCATCAAATGTACAACTTTTATATCAGTCATTACTAACTTTTCAGTAGTAAGAATAAGCAGAGTGATAATTATACTTACCCCTTAATTATAGCCATGCCTTTGCCTACTGTGTTATTTACAAATATCCTAAACTGACAGTTTTTTTAAGATTAAAAAGTTTTAAATCAAATCATAATAAGTAGCAGGGGCTTCTGGTATTCATAGTGTGGATCCTGAGGATAAATTGGTCCATGAGCTTGTGAAGCCCATCACAGACTGACTGTGCTATGATTTAAATTTATATGGATCTTATTTTTTTATTTAAAAATTATAGTGACTTTGCCACCAAAGATACCAAAAGAATAAAAAAAAAATGTTTAGGTTGAAAGTCAGGACACACCTGCCATACTTAATATAAAAGCCCACCTACCAATGAGAATTTGTACAGTGACCCAAGGAGTGATAAGAATTTCCCAAGTTCAGKATTTTCCCAGCATGTCTTAGCAATGACTTCCATGTCAGTGATATGATAGGATGAATGGACACGGAGGCATTCATATGATCTGGAGTCTTCAATTAAATAGAGAAACCCTATTTAAAAATCGAGTTCATAAAATCACCTGGTCATTAACATAAACTTTTAATGGGTTTAGGTTAGAAGCGCCACCAAATAACATTTTCTAAAAAGTTCTCACTTGCTTGCGATGAGGATGAAGATGAGGATATTTTTTGTAGATTCCACTTACCAGGAAAATGAATAGTACTGCAGCTGTTCGGAAGGAATTCCAGTCCATTGCTGCTGCTGGGATCTCTTACATCCAACACCTAGGGAGTTTTGTTTGTTTCTTCTCTGTTCTTTTTCTTTCTCCCACTCAGCTGGTGTCTGATTAAAATAATTTCTCAGTAGATGTTCGTACATGCAGGCTTTGAGGTGTTTCTGCCTTCCTCTGGGAGAAGGACTGCAGGTACGTATAACCAGTCCGGATCCCCACCCTAAAAACTTGGGCTGGTCTCACTGAAATGCTTGACAAGATCATCATTGCTCCCAGGTAAAAGCTTAGGGACACACCCTTCTTCCAGCTGAAAAGCAACCTTCTCTGGGGAGAGGAATATTCACTTCTCTACTGAAAGTTTTCAGTGATAAGCACTTAAAGTGACCAAAAATAAGGAGGGTTGTGCRATTGATAGGGGCTTCCAGTTTAGCTTCTCCCCGTATTAAAAAGGCAGATACAGTTTGGCTGTTCATATTTTTCAGAGAATTATCCAGCCCATGTTCAGAGCCAAACCCTCAGGTCAGGGTAGAAAATGATAAGCTTTCCATTTTAGTAGATGTTAGAGAAGATACAGTTTATTTTCTAAGTTTTTAAGAGACAGAAAATTTGCCTGTGTTTAGTATAAAGTACTTTTTTTTTTAAAAAAAATCATTAATCCAAATAAGCAAAACTATGGTACTTAACAATTATTATTATGGTACTTACAATTCTTAGGTCCTCTACATAAATTACAAATCCCTGTAAGTGACCAGCCAAAGTCCAGGTAAGCCTTCATTTTCTCCCTAAATGAATATTTTTCTCTCACCAAGTAATTTTCTTCCTTTTAGATTCTGTACTTTTTCAAATGCAGTGACACACAATTTAAAATGTCAATAATCTAGGTTCAAAGTAAACAACTGCCAATTAAAATCCTATCGATAATTTTTTAAAGGAAGTTTCAGTGCCTGAAATGCTAATGGAAACACAGAAAGCTGTTCTTCAGGTGAGGTGGGTTAAAAGTCAGCGATGATTCCCAAGCACAGAGCCAAGAATCCACAGAGTGAGCCAATTAGAACATAAGGATATGACTGCCCACACATGCAGGTGGAAAATTGAATGCGGTCCTGAGGGTTTTGAAAATAAACAGTGACCCTTGCAGGGCACCATTGGAACATATTGGTGTGATATGAACTTGTCAATTGACAATGTCCAGTGGCAGGAAGTCTTATAGATGCTGGATCCCTTCAGAGTTTGAAATGGCAGTCTGGAACAGCAGACTTACCCAAGATATCGATTATGGTCAAAGGATACTAGAAATGTCTCAGAAAGAAAGGATTTCTTTGAGAGTCGGATAGTCTACAGAATGCTGTCATTTCACTACAGATGTATGGCAAAGTTACTTGACAGAGTTTTGAAATTTTATGTGATTCATCATAGAGCACAGAGGGATGGAGAAAGGCTGTGTAAGTTTACTTGCAATGAATAAAAATGCTTCTGAMAAGATTAGGTCAATGTAAATGAAATAAAAGAAAATAAAGGAGAGGGCAGGCTAACTTTCTCATTAGTCAAGTAAAATACAATGTGAGCRTTGACCTATGATTTAAGTCTGAGCAATGTGTTAGTGGTAGGATTGTCTGACTGTGAATGACAGAAGACTCACTGAGCACCAGAAACCAAAGGACCTACTCTTACACCCTTCCAGTGACAGCGAAAACATTATCCATCTTGGATTCTGGGCATGATGCCAGGGTATGCCCGGGCCTTCCTCATCCAATGAATTACCCTTCGCTAAACCCAGCTGTGGCTCCACCCCTAACTCAAAGCCCTGCTCCAACAATCCCAACCACCTAGAGAAGTTTCAGGAAAGCAACCTCTGTAACAGAGGTCTGCAGAAGGGATGTGGCATCTGGATGATCACATGAGAGCCGAAGACATTAATCACAGTGGTAGAGGGAATTCAATTCCTCTTCCTTTGCCTCTTCCCCTGTCTTTCTCTCTTACTCATTTTTTTATTTGTTTAGTTACACATGACAGTACGATGATCTTGACATATCATACATTTGAATCAGATGGGGTATAATTTCTCATTTTTCTGATTGTACAGGTTGCAGAATCACATTGGTCATACAGTCACCTATATACGTACAGCAATAATAATGTCTATTTTATTCTGCTGCCCTTCCTATCCCCCCTCCCCCACCCCTCCCCTCCCCTACTTCTCTCTACCCAAACTAATGTGACACACTTCTTTTTTTTTACCCCTCACATCATCATACATGTATTCTGTATAACGATGAGGGTCTCCTTCCATCTTCTGTGCAATTCCCTTTCCCCCTCCCCTTCCCTCCCACCTCTCTTCCCTATTAAGTGGTAGTCTTCTTCTCATGCTCTTCCTCCCTACTCCATTTTGAGTCACCCCCCTTATATCAGAGAAGACATTTGGCCTTTGTCTTTCAGGGATTGGCTAACTTCACTTAGCATAATCTGCTCTCTTACTCATTTTTTTTTTTAATATTTTTCTTTAGTTGTGTATGGCCACAATGACTTTATTTATTTATTTATTGTTGTGGCACTGAGGATGGAACCCAGTACCTCACACATGCTAGGCGAGCACTCTACCACTGAGCTACAACCTCACCTTCTCTCACTTATTTTAATCTCCTCAGAATAGTGCTATCCAACAGAACTGTGGGCTATGTGGAAATGTTCTCTATCTCTAGCTGTTCAACATGGTAGCCACTTGCTATATGTAACTACTCATCATCTGAAATGTGGCTATTTTGTGGAAGAAATGAATTTTGAAATTTACTTATGTTAATTTCAATATCAATTTAAATAACCCTGTGGCTACTGGCTACCCTATTGGACAGTTCAAAAGGGTTGGAAGAGCACTATTGCTTTTATTATTTTCTGTCTTACTCCAAACCTTAACTACTTTTCACTTTTGAAAATTTAACTCCCTTTTAATTAACTTTTCTCAACTGGGGGAACTCTACCTTTGTTTCAGTTTACAATTAACACCTGGAATTCCCTTTCCTTCATGTAATCTTATTATCTCACTTGGGTCCAATCTCCTTTCCTTTCTCCTTACTGATTCTCTTTCCTAATGCTAATGATTTAAAACATAAGTGACGTAAATCCTTCTCATTTCCATGTTACCATTTTCTTAATCTTCTATGGCAGTCGCCTTATCTGTGACTTGACACCACACTGTGGCATAACTGTACTGCACATTTGCTGCTTTTCTCTGGTCTCCATGCATCATACCTTGTTTGTACTGTCACCATTGGCTGGTACTTATACCTCCTTATGTGTACCTATGGTTCTCATTTCATGAAAATTTTGTGGAAATTAGGGTGACTTTTCTGTTGGAATCTTCCTGGTGATCTGCCAAAAGTTTCCCATAGAAATAAAAGTTCTCCTGGTAAGTAAGTTTTCCTTTCTTTGACAAGGCACTGAAGACTCCAGAATATCATCCATTCCAAGTGTCTGCATTTCTATATATGGCTTAGGATAACATAACACTTTCTTGAAAGATGAAAACAGCATCTTTAAATTTGATAGGTTTTACTGGCTTAGAATTTCTTGAAACTAATTCTGGTAACTGTTCTGTCCACCATAATGTACATAGTGCCCATAGCATGGGCTTGTAAGTCAGAGAAATGCCCTGGAATATGCTTTTATGTCATGTGTGAACCTCTGATTCATGTATGTATCAATATTACCAATTGTTTTTAAAAACACAAAAGATAAAGATAAATCTTAAAATGGAGAAGAAATTGAAGTACATATGTTGAGGATAATATAAAACAAAAGAATTTTTTTACTTCTATAGTCATGTTCCTATGAAGTATATTGTTTTCAGATCTTGTTCATATTGCTTAAAATTAGATTATTCCTTAATGACTCAGCGTCACTCACAAAAACTATGGATGAGGAATGCTATTTTAGATAAAAAGAGACTTTTCTTTTAATATGTAACAATCAAATGCAATTTTTGATTCTTAACTGGATTTTTGGTGTGAACAAAACAGCTATAAAAGCAATTTTAGGCTATTTGAGGAAATTTTAATATAAACTATTAGAGAATTATTATAGATTTTATTTGGTTATGTAGTATGAAGTCTTTATYTCTGTAGATATGTGTTTAATTATGTAGGGAGAAAATTTCATGATGACAGAAATTTTCTTTACGATGTTTCAGTAATAAAGTAGAAGAGGCAAATATGGCTAAATGTTTTCACTATTAAATGGAGATAATAGTGTATGGTATTCTTAGTGCTTTTCTATTTATTTGAAAAATTATATAATATAAAAATAATAGACTAGAGCAAGGTTTGGAAAATTATGGCTATGGGCCAAATCTTGCTTGTTGCCTAAATTCACTTTTTTTTTWAAAGTTTTTATAAGCCATGTTCATTTGCTTATTATATATTGTTTATGGCTACTTTCACTCTACAAAAGCAAAGCTGAGAGTAATTATGACAGTCTGCCCGKCCTGCAAAGCTTAAAATGATTACTTATCTGGTCTCTTACAGAAACTATCTTCCAAGCCCTGGATGAGATGAATAGATTATAGATTGCAGTACAAAATACGACTCATTAGCACATGAGATGATTTTAGGAGGATCCATAAAATTGATCTACAGGACATGAGCAGAAATCATGATGACTCAAAGAAACCTCTAAGATTAAAGAAATTCATCACTGAGATAGAATACATCTTTATAATCAAGTTGAATTTTTAGTTTGATATTTTAAGAAAGATTTTAATGACTAGAATAATAGATAGCCTAAGGAATCTTCCATTCTTTTAAGACATATCTAAGAAAAACCTCAATTATATTTTTCTCTAATAAATTCTAGAATGACAGTTCAGTAACATCATATCTATATACTTGATATAAAAAGAATATTTATGAGTTGAGGAAAAACTCAAATGATTTTGAAAACATTGGTTTCTATCTCTTTTTTTGGCCGGTTGGGGGGTGGGTACCAGGGATTGAACTGAGAGGCACTCGACCACTGAGCCTCATCCCCAG